TTTTTGCCCTATTTAATGTACTAGCCGGCACCAGAGTAGAATCACTAACTTTCATAAGAACATAATGGGACTATCAATGACGGATTGAAAGCAATCTCAAATTACGCAAGCATTAACGGATTGCACTTACCTCAAGTAAACAAAAGTAGCTGTTACAATGAGGACTATAAGACAGACAGAGACTGACACCAGCAACGCAATCTGTGTGAGGTTCTCATAACGTTTGTACTCCTTCGGCTCATAATCTGTTAAAATACAATAATAAATAAACCAATAGTAACCATACACCATTTTAACTATTTGTTTGTTATTTCTTCATTATGGAAAATCAACTATATGGCTAACAAGAATTTAGATAAAGATTATGTCAAACATTACACTCGAAATGAGTACATTTCATGCTTTGTGCAGAATTTAGATTTTAACCTTTTGCTACTAACAAAGTGTTTCTAGTAAAAGCTGCTTTCACTATCAATAGGTAATCAATTATGCTTATGGCTTATATTCCTTTATACAAAGTCTTTCTTTCACAACTTCAGCTCTTCCAACTTAACAAAGTTTTTGTTTCAATTTAGATTTTTGCAAAATAATTTCACTTTATATCAATGATGAATCTCCTTGAAAAGTAACTGACTTAACTCTTGACCTGCAGAGACAAAAAGTGATAAGCCTTTGCCACCAGGATATAGCCAGGCCAGACTGCATAGACCAGGCTCAATACTGTTGGTAGGGCAATGTTTGTTTTTCTAAATAATGAAATCCCTAAAACCTGGAATGGACTGGTCCAAATATTAAACAGAGCAAGTCCATTACGCAAATTCAGTGGTATAGTAGGACCAATGTTTATTATTGCATATGCAGCAGATTATGGATACATTACTTTCTATACAAACAGGAGATATTATGTTTGGTTGTTAATACAGTACCTGGACCGGGAGTTGTTGATATCTCATTATATATAGGAACAACACCTCTGTTGCATAGATCTTCATCATCACAACATGCTATGGCTGTCGGCATTCTATGTGGTACCAAGTTGGCTTTACACTGCAATGGTATTGTAAGAACATTTTTTTATTTTCTTTTATACTTAAGATTTCAAGTTTCCACAGAACTGGGTCCGGTATCTTTTGAATCATCTTTATCTAGTAAACCTTTTTTTCAAAATATATCCTTTCCTTATCATGTATAATGCTGTCATACTAAATAGTGTCACAAGCAAAGACTGGTTTATAACTTATTAACTATGATAAAGCAGGCAAAAACATTAAAGATTTTATAGCCGTTCTAGGCTCCGAGTGATTTTAAATAAAGTTTTATATCAATTTCATAGGGTAATTTGCTATTCTGTAATTCACTTAATACCCCACTTAATATATCAAGGTAACTTTAAGAAAGCTACAAGTTGCCCTACAACTATATGAATATACCAAGTAATTTATACACCAAGTTATTCATAAACAATAAAACACAAAGTAAATTAATTGTACCTGCATTGTTGTTCCGCCTTCAAAACTTGGTAAACAGCCATATGCAAGCTCGTGTATTCTTTCCCCATTCTCAAATATTGCCTGTATTGAGGCAAAACACATACTGTTTGGAGGGGCAAGACATGTTTCATTCACATCAATACCATCATGACATGGACTACAAAAGCACCTTAAACCTTCACCTGTAATTAAGAAATGTACTGATTTATAATGATCCATAGGAATCAAAGTTTATATCCTTAGGGCAGGGTTCTCACTAGGACTTTAAAACATGGAGTCCATGGACTCCCAACCCTGAAAAAGTTGGAGTCCAAAAGCGCGTTGCAATTAATATGTTTACAGATTAGTCATTCAATGTTCACAATAGCATTGCTGATATTTTGAATGTTCAAGAGACTTCCAAAGTAAATAGTTATTCAAAAGAAACTCTAGTATAATTATTGTTTTGTTGTTAATATTTATTATGAAATTATTTCATTAAAATGCATCAACCCATGGAAATTTTTTTTTTTTTTTCACTTTTATACCAAATCAAATTTTTCTCTGGTTAAATAAGTCCACTCTTAAGACAAAAAGTTTGTATTTGTTAAAAAAAAACGTAAATGTATATAGGCAGCGTTTACGGTTTAGCGGAATGAATAGGAAAATCGTGTACAGATTCACACAGTGTGTAAGAGATTCATCCGATCGACGATTATTTTAGCAAATATCTTCAAAAGGGGGCAATTTAAAGATCGAAATTTAAAGATTTAATGTTGATTAAATAATAAAGAAACAATTCATTCGCATGTTTGGCTTGGAAACCGAGAATTTTTGCGAAATTTTAGGGTTTCTGGCGAACGTGAAATCGCCGATGTTCGGGATCAATTTTCGGATAGAGAAAAGCGTATGTGTACCTGGCATTTCGGCACAACATCTTAAATTCTTAATACTCTTATAGAAAGATTTTGCAAGAATGTAACTAAAGCAAAATTGTGCCTAGAAAATGCCGAAAATATTCGACAATCATTATAATGCCGAAAATATTCGACAATCATTCAAAATTACACTCAATTGTAATTTGAGAAAACAGTCTTTAAACTTGCGGCGTAAATAGTCGATAATTTTATCCTTTTGTCAGTAAAATTTGCTAATTTCCGATCAACTGTTGATCAAAGATATTAAATTATCACCTCATGATATATCTGGTAATTACATGTACTGTACAGCGCGTGCATACATTAGTCTGATCACTATTGCGTGATAATGATTGGAAGCGTTATCGCTGATTGGCTAATTGCTTCACGGGTCAATATGCATAGGACCGCCTAATAGGGGGTTGGTTACAACATTAATAATTATAAATAAATTCAAAGATAAACTAATAGCATAAAAATACAGTCATATATAATCATCTATTACAGACAGAATTATCTAAATTTATGCAATTTGTTATAAATTTCTTAAAGCAGCATGCCTCAGATGATATAAATAATTTATATATCAAAATAAACTTCTATATACTTTTAGCTTGAAATTTGATAAATGCAATATATAAGCTATAAAAAAATACATCAACTTAAATTCAAATATGAACCTGGGGCAGAGACATATAATAATATGTATTTTAACATTTCTGCGTTGGGTATCAGAGCCAAGGATATTTTCTGAACACTTTTGTGACATACATGTGACTAAAGTCACTTAGGCTATAGACTACACGTGTATATTCATAAAGAAGTCAAAGTCCGGGGCGGCAAAGCGGCTCCGGGCTTTGGCTTGCCCGGCTATAGACTACATGTGTATATTCAAAAAGAAAAAAAAAAGGAAAAAATATAGAATTCTATACCTATCAGCGAAATTTTCAGTACCAGTTCTTATTGGGCGCCGTAACGCAATGATAAACGGCGGTGTATTCTGATTATGGCCAATCGCAACTTTTCGACTTACTAGATAACGATAAAAGCCGAGAAATTCTGATTGAAAACGGATGCGTAGACTGGTCCCCTGTGGACTACTATTGGGGACCATAATAGGACAGGGAACCAGAATAAACGGAAGCAGTGTATAGAATACCGAATGGCACTTTTAAAACGGAAAATGTAAAATAAAAATGAACGATTATTTTAACCGACTTCCCCATTCATAGGCTTTGCCTAATTTCATATTATATTACAGCGTAAATGAATGTACACATTAGATATAACCAAACAAAATGTTAACATGTACTTGAAGAAATCTATTTTTATTTTACCATTTGGACAATAACTGAAAAATCATGTTTCTTCATAATGTTATACGGGGAAGTCAAAGTCCGGGCCCGCTTTGGCTTGGCCGGCTATAGACTACACGTGTATATTTAAAAGAAAATCAAATAAAAAAACAATTAAAAAATATATAGAATTCTATACCTATCAATGAAATTTTCAGTGTCATTTCTAGTTAGGCGTCGCCATTTACAATGTAACTCAATGATAAAAATCGGTGTAATCCGATAACGGAACAAATCTCAACCTTTCGGCTTAATAATAATCGTTGAGTGTTCCGAGTGAAAACAGAAGCGGGTACATATAATACCGAATGACACCTTTAAAACGGAAAAATGAAAGATTTTTTTTTACCGACTTCCACGTTCATAGGCTTTGCCTAATTTCATATTAATAAAAATAAACTTTTAGACACAAAGAGTTGAAAGACTGCATTTTTACTTTGTGTCTTTTATTTTATTTTGACTGTAGTTCAGGTGTTAGTGAATTCTGGTAAAACTGGGATAGTGAAATATTTGATTTGAATATATACACTGAAATTAGCCTGAAAAACGAGTGTGCAGATAACATAAGACGTGTCTCTTCAACGAGGTCAAAAGTTTCTTGATGTAAGATTTGACCCAAGATTTGACGATTTCAGGACTTTACACCTCCTGGACGTTTCACCTTTGGTCTTTACACCTCCTGGACGTTTCGGCTACTTTTTTTATAGATAATATTGTATACTGTATGGATTAATATCAGTAAACTTGTTTGACATACCTTTGTTGTTACACCTTAATTGGATTATATTGAGTGATAATTGAGATAACTCAATATCATATAAATTTGCATGATAGACATTGAGAGAATATTTGTTTTTGAAATTTATAATTACAAGATATCTTGCTGAAAATGCTTTAAAAAAATCAAGCTAGAATGAATTTATTACCAATTATTTCAAATTAAATACTTTAATAGAAAAACACGCTCTTGCAAAAAAGAAGTTAAATTTTATAATAAAATATTGAAAATCATGTAAGTAAATAAAATTAAAAGTTGAGATTTGTACCTTTATCGGAATACACCGTCTTTTATCATTGAGTTACATTGTAAATGGCGGTGCCTAAATAGAAATGACACTGAAAGTTTTATTGATAGGTATAGAATTCTATATATTTTCTAATTGTTTTTTATTTGATTTTCTTTAAAATATTCACGTGTAGTCTATAGCCGGGCAAGGCAAAGCCCGGACCCGCTTCGCGGGCCCGGTCTTTGACTTCCACGTATTAAAAATCTATAATAATATAAAACATTTCGGACTAATCACTATGATTAATATAATACAATATGTACACTCTACACTTACATTAGTTCAACCTTGCAAGTTTTCATTTGTTTTTTCACTGTTTTCACTGAAGTGACTATTTGTGAATGTCGACTCTTCACTTTTTTTTTAATGGTATTTAACTTTTGGATAACAAAAAAAGATGAAATAATATATACATGTAGACTTATAGCTGATAATTCTTTCAGAACTTATATTTATAATTAATTTATTTTCCCATATTATGTCAAAAAAATCTTCTTTATATCATGAATGTAATTGTTTGCAAGTATGTGTAATATTATATATAATATTATAACCCATAATGGTATTTATTTTATATATTTATCAAATTTAAAAAGTGGAGGTGAAAAGACCAGGGTTTTGAGGGTGAAACGTCCGGGGATGAAACATCCAGGAGGTGTAAAGTCCAAACACCGATTTGACAAACAAACCCTTGTAAACACTCAGATTATGCCCGTGTTTATGCATTTAATACAAAAGTATTGCAGTTATCATTATGTCAGCGTTATGAAATAAAGTATATTTAAAGCGAATATTTCATACTTACTTAAATCGATGCACAAATAAATCAGAAATATCACTAAAATCATGTCGAAGTAACTAAGTCTTCGACGACTTTCTGTCGCCATTTTGTCTCGTGTGTGCTGTACGTCATCAATTTTTGTTGTCCTAAATTTCGGTATTTTCCGTCAACACGAAGTTCGCCGACATACATAAAAAATATGCTATATTCCGGACACCGGTATACTGTACGTATGGCTCGATTAAAAATCGGAGTACGGGTACCCAGTTTTACACACAGTTTAAGTGACACATTCGTGCGTTAGGTACAACGTTGAGACTGGGACAGAAAGATACATTTTTAGTCCCAGGTTGAAATATTTCTATTCATAATTGCAAATCAAATAAGAAATTTAAAGGTTGTAAACTTTTTGCATATTGTACACCAAAGACATATCAATACACTCAGCAGTAGCTAGGGCAATAACACATAGCTTTTTACGAAAACAAATACCTTTTCACCTGAAACATATTTTGAGCACTTTCACAAGAACAAAAGATCCCAGATTAAAGTGAGATTAAAATGTATCCTGATTGAAGTTGATTTTACACGTTTCAGAGATGATAGAATCATTGTCGACGGATTGGCACTTAGTTAGAAGCAAGTAAAGTTTTATTACTTTTATGCGCTTGAATAGCTAAAACTAAATGTTAGCCAGTGAAAAATCTATAAAGATTACATATATATTCAAATTTCTCTTGTACCTAGGCCTCTTTTTGTACTTAAGTGGATGTGGTATGAATGTCCCCTCCCATAAGCAAGCATAAAAATTTTACAAAAGGAAGCAACGATATTACACCATGTCTTCAGAAACTTAAAAAAATTGTCTTGACAAGAGTATGCATTCCGAGAGCTTCACGGGGCAACAAAGAAATCCTCCAGTTCAACAATGTGTCTTTACGCGATTGAAACTTTAGACACTGACCAAATTCCGCACCAATAAGTACAGTGATAGATGTCATTTTCAGATAGAAGAGGATATCATTCATGTCAGGGTTGAAAAAGCAACAAAAAGACGAAGATTACATGTAAATAAAAGCTACCAATAATTTCTTGCTGGGAAAACTGTTAATTGTAATTATTCAAATAATGACGAAAGATAATTTAACATTGACCGTCACGGTAGTCATGACAGGAACAGACTATAATATATAGAAACATTGAGTTTAAGATACTTTAAAGATATACTATCGATGCTCATCCTTGAGTAAAATATTTTAACCACAGAAATTTATTGAAATTCAATTATCAATATTTTCTTATGTCAAATTTGAGCATAATATATCTTTAATATAGAATATGTTGACATTGATCAGTCTAACTGCCGCTGATCTTGAGTTGATTGTAGAGCTACATAATCTGTGAGTAGTTCAAAAATGAATTGTTTTAAGGTGCTGATAAGTTTGCAACATTTTCAATTTTGCCGGTTTGGACGTTCTTTAGGGATTTTGTTTTTCTCTATTTGATTGTCACATCCGTGTTAATTGTGTCATGTGAAGGTCGTAAAAGGTCGCCCCGTACATTTGATCAAAGACGATATATTTTCGATTCTTGTAGATTGTTCAGCACGACATTGTTGTTGTGTACGTTTGTGGTGTTTTTTAGTTCCATCTGATCCTTAGGATATGCTGCATGCTCTTTAAATTTGTCTTTTGACGTCTTATCTGTGATATGCAGGCTTCATAACCTCTGATCCCCTTTCAAAATTCCCTTAAGTTTACTTCTTCTTTTTGTTTTTTTGTTTAGGGCACACGCATTCTTTTAAATGGGGACCATACGTCCAAATTCATGGAATTGCACGAAAGTGTCGCATTGAAGGTACCATGCTTACCGCCGTGTGAACATATCTGTTGATGTTTCTAAATGCAAACTTGCATCATTTTCATGTTTAGATGTTGAATGGTGTCAGGAAGCGTGGATAATAGCTTGCAAATACCACTGCCGTTCATGAAAAGGCTCAATATGAAACCAAAAAATATGATAAACAAGATCATCAAGGAAAGGCGGCGTTCAATAAACGCAGCCCCCACCCGACCCAGAAACAAGAGCCAGTGGCAAGGAGCCCAGGAGGACCCTTAACAAAAACAGGAAAGGGCACAAGGCAGAGCACGGGCAGGCAAACCACAAATAATGAGTAACTGATAAGGAACTAAAAGAAAACAAATAAATGATTGAATATTAGGCCCATAAAGTCAAAAGGCACAGGGGAAGGGGACATGAGACCCGGGGAAGGGGGGGGGGGATAAATAGAATAAATAAAAACTAGGGGCAAAGGGGAAGATTCTTACCGTAGACGAGAAAACAACAAGAGAAAAGTGTCACCAAAACAGTATAAAACAACATAGACAACATCTAAAGGAACACAGAGGGGCGCCGCCTTGGAACGGTCAGCAGCATAAATACTGCTGGGGAGTTTAAACCGGTTAATGGTGCACCAAACCTCACTCTTAGCCCCACCATGTTCCTATAAACGAGACAGTGTAAATAAAATGAATCCCCGCCAAGTGAAATTCTAACAGTTGTCATGGTTACAAAAGGTGAAATAAGTAAAACATCGAAATTCTCATGTAGAAACATACAAAAGAAAACCCAATGACCATAACAAAAGTACTCAATGTCTTAAAGGAAGACAGAGCAACAAAAAGATCACCTACAACGGCCCGACGAAGCAGACAGAAAACGAACATTAAGGCAATTCAGTCCCAAAGGGCTTTAAGAACTGTCCATCATAGAGTCTACCACTTGGTCCGTCAGATGTAATCAAAAGAGGAAAGCGTAGCGTTCAACTGTAAATGGGTTGAACACTAAGCATGCGGTATATCTTAAAACAAGCCTCCAACATTTTCAATTTTGTCGTTTTTGGTCGGTTTTTAGGGTATTCTACTTTTCTTTATTTTTGTCTTTGCATTTGACAGGTTATACAAATGTATTGATTAAGGTAATTTTGATATAGGGTTTGATGTCTGTATACATGTAAACAATACTAAATGATAATAGTTTTATGTGCATCTTATGACTGTGAATTCAAAAAATGATTTTTACATTCATAAAAAGGGATTACTTTTGTGAAAATTGTCTATTTTTTCGAAAATATTTCAATTTGTTACAAACAGCCACTGTCAATAGAACCAAAGGTCTAACTGTCCAAACCATTGTTTCCTTGAGCAAGAAATTTTACACTCACTGCTTTGTACTAGTTTGTTCCAGGAACGAATTCGAGAGTGTTTCAATATGCTTATAACGTCTATCACAATCAAACCAAACAGCTATTTTTTATCATATTTGGTAACAGTGTCGGGGACTGCGTCCTGTGAATGCTTTGTTGATCTTTGTTATCGTTTGTTGTGTAATATTTGATATCTATGTACATCGTTTGTCTATTACGCAGTGAAAATGTCTCATGCTTAACATATTTGTTAATGCAAGCTTCACAATCAATCCACATTTTTTTAGACAATATCTCTTTAGGTGACCTTTTTATTTACATAGCTTTATTTAACTTTAAAATCCGGTTATTTTTCTAAAATATACTATATTTTCAATTAAGCATTACCTATTTTTGAAAAAAAACAACAACAAAAAAAAAAACAACAAAAAAAAAACCCCAAAAACATTTATGATTTAAAAACATCATTAGAGACATTGTATAATATTTAGACTAATTCTTTGAACAGCTTTGGAGGTCCCTTCACCGAAAGAACAATTCTGATAAGTTTGGTTGAAATCGGACTTATAGTTTTTAAGAGGATTTTTTAACTTCACTATATAATTTATGTAGCAGACAGACAAACATACATACATACATACATACATACATACAAACATACATACATGAAGGTGAATCGCTATACCTCCACATCGCAAATGCTTTCGGTCTGATGCGTAAGTAGGCCTTAGGAAAATACGATACAAGGGCCAAAGCTAAGGTAATTGACACGAACCATGCATCACCTCGTGGTTTTCTTCAAAAATATTGCAAAGATCGTCCCTCAGGGCAGGGTCTGTTTGAAAGATCCTCTCATGGGGATCAAAATAGCTCAGCATGGAGCCACTAAATTTATTTAGACTTATGTATGGAAACACATTTTAGCTTTCTTGTGTAAAACTACAATGCCCAGGGGTCAGTTAATAAGCATGCAACATTACCATGTGGATCTTTACAAAAGTGATATAAATCTTACACATAGTAACAGAGAACCATAAATTATGCAGCTTGGTTAAAATTGACAATCAAAATTGACCTTATTACTTTCTGATGCATTAAAAAAATTGTGACCTTTTCTAACAATGTATCAAAAAAGATATAATGGACTGCACTTTTTTACGCGGTACTCATTACTACTCAATATAGAGATCATCACTTAAAAGTGTTGGAATCGATGATCCCGAGTCACTATTTAGTTGTTCTATGTGTGCTCCAAATTTTATTATGATTGAAAAAGGATTAAAGTCTGCAAACAGTTATTTTTTATATTTCACGAAAGTAGCATTAAAATGTACCTTAGTTAATTAGATTCGCTTGAGCTTGTAGTCATGTAAAAGTTTTTAATGAACGAATATTTTCGATTGGGTTTACTTTTATATGTATCTACTTGATCATTTCTGTGTTTTATTTAATTCATTTCAACCTTTTGTAACCATAACAACTGTTAGAATTTTGCTTGGCGGGGATTCATTTCATTGACATTGTCTCGTATACAGGAACATGGTGGGGCTAAATAAGTAAAACACAGAAATGATCACGTAGATACCTATAAAAGTAAACCCAATGACAATAACAAAAGTCCTTAATGTCTTAAAGGAAGACAGATCAGCAATGTAATTACCTACAAGGGCCCGACAAGGCAAGATAGAAGACGAAAATTAAGACATTTCAGTCCCAAGGATTTTTATAACTTTTCATCATAGATTCTTCCACTTGGTCCATCAGATTTAATCAAAAGCGTAGTGTCCAACTGTAAAAGGATTAAGCATTTAGCATGCAGTATGTCTTAAACAAGTAGGGTCATAACCTCTTTTAATAAAACGTTAGAAGGCACCAGAAAAATGATCATGACCCAGGATTTTACGAAGTTTTTAAATCACATCTCTATGCAAAAAAAAATAGAATAAAGATGAATGGCTAATCCCTAGTCGCTGAAGAGTTTTAAAATCACTTATTAAATCGAAATTACGATTATAAAATTTAGTAAAATTTCTTGAAAAGAATATAGAGAGATATAGAAAAAATACAAATACATACTAGTAAATGATCTATTTTATTACACATACATGTATTTATAAAACTATCTAAAATTTATATAAACAGTTTAATTTAACAACCAAATATTTATTGTTCTTTCCTTCTGAGAGACGCATCTTTCAAGATGTACGAATTTCAACAAGGCAAAAATCTAGACAAAGTGTGATCTGGACAAAGTGTGACACAACCCTGCATCACTAGTAGGGCACTCGGAACAAATCATTCCTGTTCAAAAATCGCCAAGGTCATTAAAGCTAAATATCACACATAATATGAAACATATCCAACTTAGTATGATCTTGTCTGAATGTGAATACACGATCCCATCATTACAAAGATCCGTGTTACAGCAAGACACCTTTGTTCTGACAAATGTACCAGAGCACGTGCCAGTCGAGCATTCAAATTGTTTATCAACACATCCTGCCGTTGTCAAGGAAAATTCATTGAAAGTAGTCGTCACCGTCTAACGAAAAAAAGAAGAAAAAATAAACTGTAGAATGTCAAAACTTATTTCTTAGACAATATGATGTAAACGGCCGACAACAAAATTATGAAACCATTTTGACATGAATTATTCAAGTCAAATAAAGTTCCCTTACTGGGTGAAATCCATGCTAAAACCATTTATATCAATAACAAGAACAAAACGTAGTTACATTAAAATAATAATAGCATAATAATTATGAAGACGATTGTTTATATATAAGTATCAATATGTATACGGAAGATGTAAAATAAAATTTGTTCTGCTGCTTCTTCCAAACTATAAATGTACTGTACAGTTATCATAAATATGATAATTAAGTTCTGACTCATGTGAGGATAGTTGTCGGTCGCATGCTGAACATTTATTGGTTGTTTGTTATCCATGAAAAATAATCCAAAATGCTTTAAAACCAAACAGGCAAACACATAATATTATGAGTATGAAGCTTTACTTACATAACAACCTTTGTAGATAACTCTTTCACATTTCTTTATAAGCAAGGGGTTATTGACAACTTCTGTACTAAGACAGTTTGTACCATTACATGCATATTCGAAACACTGAAAAATTGCATCCATTATTAGCATATGTAATTTACACCAAGCAACAAAGGAATCACAAATCACATACATGGCATTTATCCGAAACTACTAAGAAGGATAATTATAATGTTGTCAAAAGCTATTATGCATTTTAAATTCACAATGATTTTTTTAAAGAAATGCTGATGAAGATATAGCCCGTCGAGATTAATACAACCATCGGCTGGCAAATAAGGTCATAATATCTCTGTCAGGCAATACAGTTAATTATAGACAGAAAGACAGAAAAGATTCCTTTTATCAATCACAGATATTTGGTGTGTAGAGCTCCTCCAAAATTTATTGAATGTTTGTCAGTACCAACCCATAAACCTATTAAATATATATCAATTAAACCTAATGTACGCGGTTTTAAAGTAAAAAATATATTTCAGTGTCTGTAAAAAATGTAATAAACATGTCCTTACTGAGATCGCCAATAATAATTTTTAAATGTAACAATTATTAATATTTATTATGGTAAATGGTGAACATACCTTTAAAGAATTCACCGGAATAGACACACCTGAAAAAAAAATTAATAGCTAGACTAATGGATAATTCTCATCCACATTTTCTTAATCCTTATTCAAATTACAAAAATGAATAATTTTTATACTCAAAATTGTTATTGCATGTTTGATAAACAAATGTGAGAAAGAAAGCATGCGTATTAAAAGGTTTAATTTTTTTTTAAAGTATTTTCCAATGTAAACTTTTTTCTCGTATATGAAAACATCTTAATATCAGAAGAAAAAAATGTGATTCTCGGAAGCATAAATCACAACAAAATTACATGAAAATTACAGACTCGGCTTAATTACGTTGTCATAAGTATTAAATCATCGATAGCAGAATGGTTTTAGACGTACAGTGTCAACTGAAGTTTGAATCATATAGAGCCTGAACACACAAATCATGTCCAAAATTTACATTTTATATAAATACAGCCATCAGAAAGTTGTGACCAGACTCAAACAGAGTCATGTTAAGAAGTATCGGGCAAAACATTAGATGTAAGTCCCATCTTTTACGAAATAAGGTTGAACAATTAAAACAAAAAATAAGTTGAAGGAAAATAAACTTTAATTAATTCATATCAGTTTATGAAAAAAGAAATCTTACCAATGACACAAATTCCGAAGAAATATTTTATAAATATTAGCGACATTGTGCAAGAAAATTAAACAAATATTTTATGAAACCTGTTTTAAAATGGTACTTGTTCAAGTTTTTTCTCTTATTTCATTGTTGACTTCGCTTTTCCGTGACAAGCAGTGTTTAAATGTTGCTCGTGTTTTATTGCTCTTTAAAACTTCATTAACTCAAACCAAATGTTATGGTCAAATCTTCAATTTTACATATTTAAACTAAATAACCGACATAGTTGAACACTTTCATTACCAAATCATTGATAAATAAACGGTCATTAAAGGGATATTTGTTTATAAAAAGTGTAATTATGTCCCGAAATTGTTTCTTTATTACTATTCCTACAATTAAAAGGTTGCAATTTGAGAGAAAAACACGTATTGATTCGACATGCTTACAACACTACATTGAATTATTGAAAGTGACATTATGCCCATATCATGATACATGTACATGTATATATTTTGAGTGAACATATGTGGAAGTCAAAATAAGTTTAGATTTTGCCATAATTCCTTTCAATTTTAAAATTACTTCCCAACGAACGATGAATTACTGTTATGGTCCAAAAAAAATTCTGTGAAAATCCGTCGGAATTTACATATATTTTAGGCAGATTTATTTTTTATCCTCAACATTTCCTAACAGCAAATGTTAGTCAATCACAATTATATATAGTCAATCTTTTTAAACTTTTAGTCAAGTCAGCTCAGTTTGACAATGAAACAAAAAAGAAATTTATTTCACTTTATAAGCTAGTTTCTTGAAAGTTACTATTGTTCACTACTTAATGATTATTTTCTTAGCCTATGTGACTCTAACCTGTAATGGTACAGTCGTGACTCTAACCTGGTATGGTACCGACTAGAAAGCTCCTTCATATTACCCTGTTCAGTGTGGTGCATAACGATATGACTGATATTCAGATAATTTATTTCTTTATAAGAAATTTAAAAAGAACATAATTATAAAAAAAGAAAATCTTCTTGAATTTATTGAATATTTCCTAAATATATATTGATTTATTAAAAACCATATTCACCTAGAAATGAAATTGATCGGGTCTTGACATCCAAATACATATAGCTACCCAAATTATCCGTATATTATTTAAAGGTCTGAAACTTCTTAAAATTATTTTTATCGGGTTTTCCAATAATAATAAATAATAAATAAACAATATCCGTATTCATTACATTTAAAATTAGAGAATTGAGTACCGCTCAAGCCGGTGCTAGCGGGCGTGAGGGGTTTTGCACCTCAATCAAACCGAGTCTGTAATTTTCAAGTAATTTTTCATTCTGTTTTAAATGATATTGATTGAGCCTGTTCATGGACAGTACCATCAAGTGTAAACTGCCGTGCACGCAACCTAGTACCGGCTTGAGCAGAATTAAACATTTCAAAATGAAATGGCAAAATTTTGAATTTAAAAACATCCGCAAATGTGTACATGTGTTATTATGGAACCTTCAATGTGACACTTTAGTGCCATTCCATGAAAAGCGGAGTATGGTCCCCAAGTTATAGAAAGTGTGTGCCCTAAACGAGAAAACAATGGGCGGAACTAAACAAAATGTAATTTTGAAAGATTTTTTGAAGTCTGCATATCACAGATAAGACGTCAAAACACAAATTTAAAAAGCAGGCAACATATCCTAAGGGTGAATGAACATTATTCAAGTAGGAATATTAGGACCATCCAAATTAGTTGAAACTAAAATATACCAGAAACAACAATAAGGTCGCGTTGAACGATCTTTAAAGATCAGAAATATAACATCTCTGTTTAAATGTAGGGGGCGACATTTTACAGCTTCCACACGACACAAACAACGCTGTGGCGATAAAATAGAGAAAATAAGAATCCCTAAAGAAAGTCCAAAACGGCACATTTGAAAATGTTGCAAGCTCGGTTTGATTGAGCCTGATCATGGTCGGTACTGTCAAGTGCAAACTACCTTCCACGACCCGTAGCACCAGCTTAGTAGTAGAAGATCCAGCCAGTAGTTGCAGATTTTAGAGAAAATAAGAACCCCTATAGAAAGTCAAACACGGCAAAATTGAAAATGTTGCAGGCTTGGTTTGATTGAGCCTGTTCACGGACGGTACTGTCAAGTGCAATATACCGTCCACGTCCCGTAGCACCGGCTTAAGCCGAATGTGAAATTGTAAAATTGTGAATTTAGAAACATCAGCAGATGTGTTCATACGGCGGTAATAATAAAACCTTCAATGTTTCACTTCCGTACCATTCCATGAAAAGCGGCGTATGGCCCCCAAGTAATAGAAAGCGTGTGCCCTTAATGGAAAAACAATGGGCGGAACTAAACAAAATGTAATTTTTAGAGGGGATCAGAGGTTACATATCACAGATAAGACCTCAAAGGAAGGCAACATATCCTAAGCGTGATTCAGCATTATTCAAGAAAGAATATTGGAGCTATCCCACTAGAAAATGCAAAATAGTTTAAACTAAAATGTAGATCTACCACAAACACTAACATTAATGTCGTGCTGAACGATTTTTAAGGATCGGAAATATAACATCTCTGAGCCTCCACACGGCATAAACAACGCTGATTTGGTGATAAAATAGAAAAAATAAAAATCCCTAAAGAGAGAAACAGAATGCTTAAGGAAAGCCCAACACGACAAAATTGAAAATGTGTGCATATGCTCGGTTTGATTGAGCCTGTTTGACTGTACTGGAAAGTGCAAGTTACCGTTTTGCTTAGTTGACAATCATAAACATAATACAAAATGTAAGCAACATATTCTTAATAAATTACTGTAACACCATAGTTGCAAGAGTGTCGTAATTTTATGCTACTATTTTTTGTGGAAAACTGTCGTAAGTTGAGTTACATAATGCAGTCCCATATCCATACAGTAGAATTGAAATGCAAAACTGTTATAACTCAGACTGTGTCCTCAAAACTGTACATTCTTATGATGTCATAACAGAAACTGTGATGTCATAATCAACTTGGCACCAATGGCCTTGATAATACTGAAAAAATTCTGTTAAAGTAATGAAGATATATGATTGTAGCTGAAGCTGGCAGTTATCCGTGGGTAACTTAAAATTTCTTTAAATTTCTGTGTGGTTCATATTTTTAACATTTTAGAATAAAAGAAATTTTAATTTTGTAATTTTGCATGTTTTGACTGTAACAATTATCACAATTTGAGTAACATTTGTCATTATAAAGTCATCTTTTCTAACCCTAGATCATAAATTATATAAAAAAAAAAAAAAACAATTGAAAAATACTTTCATGTCCATATTTTCTATTTTTAAGTTTGTGGTATACAGTATTACTTTTCCCTAACAAAATGGCATTACAAGCATCTTATCATCAGGGCCACCCAAAATTCCATGGAAGTTGTAGACAGTGTTTGTCAAATTCTGAATGTGTATTTTTATGACCCCATAGTCGTTCTTCTACAGGAATGCCTGAATCTGATGGGCTAGCAACATTGTCCTGTACAAAAGTGTTAAAAGTTTTTGCTGCATTTATCAAAAAGTTGGCTAAGAATCTGTGAACAAATGAAGATGATATGCCAAGTGAAATGGTTGAAATTGCTTTTATTTCAAGCGCTCCTATCAGTGATTCAAGTTCAGCTAGAGTTTTCAGAATTCAGCCTACAAAGTGAAGGAGAAATAGCATGCCATCTTTTTCCTGCAGAAGAGAATATACAAAAAAGTTATGGAGATGGATTGTTCAAATGTTTCTGATGCAAGTCTTGTTGGAGAAGATAATGATTATAGTATAGATGATGATGATGATGATGATGATGATTTAGAAAATTACGCAAATTCTTTTTGTGATTCTGTCATTGCAGATGTCCTTAATGACATGGATAATACAAAGATTTTTTTGGCAGACATTTGATGAAAACACGTTTGCTGATATATCTTATATTAATGTTAGTGATATGGAAGGTAATGATGTTTATACGTGATGAGTGATGACAATGATAATCATAATGTCCCAGATATAGATGTTAAAAAGGGAGTTGTGAGTAACAAGCAAGATAAATGTTCTATTCCTGATGATGATGATGATGATGAGAGAGAGATGTTTGTGATGATAGGCATGAAGATTATGTTACTGATGGTGGTGATTATGATGATGAGGAGGATGATCATGATGACAATGATGATGATAAAAGTGACAGAAAGAGATTTTGTACCTGATGAAGAAGAAGAAGATGATGATGATGATGATGATGAGAGAGATAATTATCTCATTAGTGATAATTAAGGTTTTGATCCTCATGATGATGATGAATTAAATGCATGTGATAATATTTCTTTAATTTATTTGAATAAAAAGTCAAGTCAAAATCATTGTAATATGTGTACACCCCAAGAGAAATAAATTTAACCACAA